GCTCTTCCCCCGTCTTGAAGGCAGTGGCCTCCCTCAGAACATTCCTGGTTCGCCTTCTTTTTTTGTTTGTTTAAAATTTTTTTTGTTTGGTTGGTTTTTGGTTTTGATTTTTTTAAGAGAAATTTTTGCTACAAGGTGCATGATCTCACCAGAGCGAGAGAGAAAGAGACAGAAAGCAAGAAATCACCCCCCAAGGGGGGATGGCCACACCACAATCCCTTCTCCTCCATTCTCCTCCCGGATCCTGGGCATACGTGTACATGCGCCCAGTGTGTACTTCAATCCGAGTTCAGGATTCATAGCACAGTTGGCCATGTGTGAGTCCAGTGACATAATCATTACGCCATCTGCTGGACCCCTTATTGAAGTTTTTTTTAATCATACAGACCAGTACTTTCAGCTTGTAGCACCAACCCTAACTATCCATGTTTTTAGGCTGGGATAGGCAATCCTGAATTAACACTAATCCTCAAAGTCCTAGAGTTTTGTTTTGTTTTAATTTAATAGGACACACACTCTTACCAGAGAGAGACAAAGGGAGAGGGGAAATGAGAAATCGCCCCTGGGGGGGATGGTCACGCGGCAATCCCATCTCCATTTTCTTCTCAGGAGTTTGGGCATGCATGTATACGTGCCCAGTGTGATTTTCCAGCGGCCAAGTGCAGGACTCAGCCATGCAGTTGGCCATGAGGGATCCAGCCAGCTGAGGAATCCTGTCCCAGTGTGTGTCTGTTTTTGCTAGAAGGCACGTGCATGCACCAGGGAAAGGAAGAGAAAGCACTCCCCTGGGGGGTGGTCATGATGCAATCCCTTCTCCATCCACCCTCCTTTGCAGAATTTTGGGCACACATGCACATAGCTAACCATGGAGGACCCAGCTGCCTGAGCCACCAGCCAAAGAGCTGGCCCCAACTCATTTTGTTTATTTATTCTTTCATGAGACAGAGAGAGAAAGACAAGGGCCCCTTAACAGGGTCTCCTGCCACCATCTCCCCCAGCCTCACCACCCTGCTACGTGCCTTAGCTCAGTTGCCTTCTCTGTGGCCCCGGGGCCCTGGTTTCTCTTCCCACCGTGTCACTCTTTGACTGAGGCAGGCTCCCACACTCCTGCCACAGGCCTCCTCGACACAGGACAGGTGGCCTCTACTCCTTTGCTGATGCTGCAGCCCTGGCCTGGAATGGTATCCTCCTCCTCCCCTGCCTATCAAAAGCCTACTCTGGGGGACCAGCAGGTGGTGTGGTAGTTAAGGCGCTAGACATTCCCATATGTCCAACCATGGTTCCTGTGTGCTTGCTTTCTCTCTCTCTCTCTCTCTCTCTCTCTCTCTCTCTCTCTCTCTCTCTCTCTCTCTGTGTGTGTCTCTCTTTGGTCAAAATAAAATAAGTAAATGAGTAAATAAAATTAAAAATATTAAAAAAAAAAAAAGCCTACTCTGGGGACCAGCAGTTGGCGTAATGGCTATGTCGCTGGACTGCCATGTAGTTGACTATGGTTTGAGTCCCGGACCTGGTGGCTTAAACTCACGCTGGGCACGTGTACATGCATGCCCAAGATCCCGAGAGGAGAATGGAGGAGAAGGGATTGTAGCGTGGCCATCCCTCTGGGGAATGATTTCTCGCTTTCTGTCTCTGTCTCTCTCTGTCTTTCTGGTGAGCGCATGCCCTCTATAGCAAAAATCTCTCTCTCAAAAAAAAAAAAAAGGCTACACTGAGCCAGCAGCTCTAGTCAAATGACCTCCTCTCCCTTTTCCTCCACCTGTTGCCAGACTAAACTTCCCTACCCCCTGGAAGCACCTTAATCACACCTCCATTCTACACCCGCACAGGTCAGACTTGCCTCTTACATAGGCCACAAACCACCCACCTTCCAGCCCCTGGGCCCAGAGCCAGCACAGGGAAGAGACTCCAGAAATGAAGGCTGAATTCTACAACCAGGAAAGAAGGAGAACCATGGCAGAGAGGACAGGCAGCCAGATGCAGGCCCTGCCACTACCAGCAGTGTGACCTTGGTGCAGTCACTTAACCTCTGAGCCTCAGTGTCCTAGGTGTGGCAGTGAGGAACCCAGGGCCTGGATCAGAGCACGTGCTCAGCAGTGACGGCTGTCCCCTCTCCGGTGCCTTCTTGGAGAGGGGCAGCAAAAGGGGAGGGACTCTCACCTGTTTTGGGAGCTGAAGGCAGGCTCTGTTGGGGGCTCTGGTCCTCCAGGTCCAGTGCATCTGGTCCCAGGCCTGTTGCCACAGGGGTCTCCTTCAAGTCTCCCTGGACCTCCGTGTCTCCTGGGCCTGAGGGCTCCGCCCCACGACCATCACCTTCCAGGGCACCCTGATGCAGACCGAGCTGTGAGCTCTCCAGGCCCTCCGGCATCCCCGCCCTCCCCCAGCAAAGGGCCTCACCTTGGCCTCAGTCTCCTCTGGCACAATGGGAGCTGGTGGGGGGCTTTCAGTCTTTAAGAGGGTCCCTGTGGTGGGAGAAAAGGCCCAGGAAACACCACTGGCCCCAGTGCTCCCACACGCCCCCAGCAGGTCAGAAGGAGCACAACAAGGCCACAGTGGGATGAGGGACAATGTTTTTAAGCAGAGATTAGCGGACTCAAGACTAACCCGAGGAACCTGGGGGAGCCCAGGACACTGAGGATGGCTACATGCCACCCTCGGCTGGGCCCCTTACCTTCTCCATCCAAGGCCTCAGCTGCTCCGTCACCATCTGCCTTGGAGGGGCTCCGAGGGGCCTGGTTGGGGCTCTCAGACTGTAGGTCCACCCTGGATTCTGGGCCCAGGGTCTCCACAGGCAGGTTCTGGGGAAAGGGTAGGGCAGGGCTGCTCCAGAGGAAGGACACGGGATGGTACAGGGCGTGGGGTCCCTAGGATAGGCTGCACTACTCAGGGACCCCAACCCATGCCTCAGAACTACGGTCCACTCAGCAGTGAGTGGATCCAAGGTGACCTCGCTCAGTGAAGTCTGTGGCCACCCCCACCTCCCTCGCTGCCTCGGGGAACCTTCAGAGGTCTGGCTCCTGTGACACAAAATGCACCACTGGTCCCCAGTGCTAACCTGGGGTCCCCAAGGGAGGCTGGCTAGAGCCTTGGTCTCCCTCCGAAACCAGGTCATCGACAACTCACAAATGAACAATCCACTTACGGGCTGGGGCAAGGGCACGGCCCGAGAGCAAAGTCCCCTGGGTGCCCAAAACTCAGGTTATGTTCCTCAGGGGTGCCCCTGCAGCTGCCTCACAACTGGCCATACCCTGACACCCTCCAAGCTCCTCTGGCCTTTCCCACTGGCCCCCGACACCTCCCACACGCCTAGCACTCAGCAGCTGTTGGCAGGAGCTCACACGTCCCAGCCACAGATGGTCTGTCTCCGCAGTAGCCCACGCCGGACCGCCTAGGCCTGGTCACGCAGTCCTGGCCTCCGCTCTCTGTACGGCCCCTCAGCAGGCCCCCTGCCCGCTACCCCATCCATGGTTCCTGCTATCCCTCCACGAATAACTTTTTTTTTTCTTCTTTTTTTGGAGAGGTTTTTGCTATAGGGCACGTGCACTTGCCAGAAAGACAGAGAGAGACAGCAAGACAGAAAGCGAGAAATCACCCCCCAGGGGGGATGGCCATGTTGCAATCCCTTCTCCTCCATTCTCTTCTTGGGATCTTGGGCACGCACATGCATGCGCCCGGCGTGAGTTTAAGCCACCGGGTCCGGGATTTGAACCTCAGTTGACTACGTTGGAGTCCAGCGACATAGCCATTACGCTAACTGCTGGCCCCTCCATGAATAACTCTTGACCTTAGTATGTTTCTCTGCAATTCCCAAACCCTTTTTTCATGGCTATCTCTACAAATCAAGAATTCCAGGCCACATTTTACAGAAGAGGACACAGAAGTGACATGGCTTGCCCAAGGTCCCCAGGCGTCAGCAAAAGCCCCCAAGCACAGGCCTCCTTGGCACAGCAGAGGCCACCATCACCCCATTGCCGATGCTACTGCCAGGCCTGACATGTTCGACCCACCCAAAGCCTATTCCATGCCCAGGGCATGGGTCAATGGTCACCCAGGTGTGCCTGTCTCTCCCTTTTCCTCAGGGTCAGAGCTATGAGACCCCACAGTGACCCTCCTTCAATCTGCCTCCCCTCAGCCAGTGAGCCCAGTCCATGTGTCTTGGTCTGGTGCCATCCCTGAGGTCAAGATCTCACTCTTACCAGGGCTCGACCAGGACACCTCAATCTTAACATGTCTAAACTGAGCCCCTCCCCTTCTCTTTGCTGGTTACTTTTCTTTCTTTCTTTCTTTCTTTCTTTCTTTCTTTCTTTCTTTCTTTCTTTCTTTCTTTCTTTCTTTCTTTCTTTCTTTCT